CGTGGAAACAAACTTCAGGATGTACTCATATTCAACATCTATATTATTTGAAAGATCTGCTGCTCCTCAAGGTATGCCATTCCTTTTCTTCGAAAAAGCACGTATAAGGTTCTCTTTTCCACTCATGGAAGAAGGATGACTGTAAAATCCTGCCTTACTGTCAATGAATATGTTGTGTTTATTCCTGGTGTAAGAATATTGCATCCAGTATTTGACCAAAGATATAAATGAGCATGTTTGTCTAAGTTTCAAGTCAATTTAGCCCCTGTTTGATGACCATTTTTTTTGGAAAAACATTAATTTAAATAGTGATCCTTTTGGAAAATGTATGATTCAAAAGTAGGAAAAGTTTTGGTTATGTATAGAATATTTTATTGTGAATATGTGGTTAAAAATGAGTACGTAGAAGAAAGAGTATTGAACAATGGGAGGTAAACAGGGGCTTATAATAAATAAGTGTGGTTTAACATTAATGTTTTTTTTTTATTATTTAAAGTTGAAAATGGTAAGAGTTCCTTTTCCTAAGCAAACAGTTTCAACTTATTTTGTGCAATTTAAACTAGTTTATGACTCAGCAGAATTATAATCTAGTGAAATTTTTGACAAGAAACTGGTCAAATCTGAAAAAATTTAGGTGTAGTTTCACTTGGACTAGCTCATTTTTTTTTTCTAAAGTTCCAAGAAAACCTAGTATTTTGTAAGGTCTGCAGTTTCGGGAATCTGCTATTTTCTTTGCTTGTTAAATGTATTTACTTCCTTTAACTTTTACTTGGACTCAATCAGCTTATATCCTTGTTTGCTCTGTTTACTTTCACTGCATGGCTTCACTCTCATTCTTGTAACTTTGTTGGTATTGGAAGCCGGAAACACTCTGGATGGACCCAAGTTTATAAACTGTAGTAAATTGTGCAGTTAATCTACTACTTCAACTTGGTATATAGAAAATTACATAACAAACTTAAATGTTTGGATTTACGGGATTAAAATGACTTGAATACTCGCAAAAGCTTCAGAAACCAAAGAATTATTTTACCATACTGTTGCACTTGGCAATCTAAATTACTGGAGTTTGATGACACTGTCACAAGTTGAAAGCTTTCTGTTTTGGAGCAACCTGCATTTGGGTTGTTGTCTAGAGCTAGTAGCTGTAGTCAGAGCTTTGGCTTTTACTGTGTCTTTTATTCTAAAAACTTTTATGAGACAATTATAAGCATGTTTGTGTCTACATTCTAATACCCTCAAAGCCAATCCAACAGCGTGCAAGGCGATGCCTAATTGTACCCTGTCCCTCGTCCAACACGAAATTAGCTCTAGCAAACTCTGTACTTTTAAATAATGGATTCAGATCAGTGATCCCATAATCAAGAGCCTGCAATAAATATCAAATAGCTCAATCAGCCAATACTCGAGTGAATCTAAGACTGAAAGTAACAATGGTCATTGAAAGCAGTGCATGTACAATAACTTTTCAAGTAGAGGAAACTAATTCAATTGTACCTTGCTTTGCAGTTCTTCCACTTTTACGTCTATATGAGTGAGATTTGCAGTAGAACCAGATACAATTTCTTCCAAGTGCAATGCATCCTTCACAAGTCCACGCAGAAGGTGCAAAACAATAGCATTGAAATCCATTTTGAATATCATGTAATTTTTGAAGCTCTGCAGAAAAACCCATCATTAAGATACAAAATTACAAACACCAATATATGCTAAGATATTATACTGTTGAAGTGGAGAAATACTACACTAACGAGAAAATATGAGCCCAAGCAGATTAATTTGATCTCTGAGAACATCAGATAGTGGAGTTAGGAAAAGTAGCAAGAATCTGGAATGGGCTGAGCAAATGAAACTGGTCTAAACTACTATTTTTTTTTTTTTTTTTTGTGTTTTGGTTCAATGCGATAGCATCTAGAACAAAATACAAGTAAAGAGTTCAATAAAAAAATTGGACCAACTACAGATCCCTTTTGCAAAGCTTTTTGCACACCAAATTTTTGGGTTGAAATGAACGAGTCCAGCAGAACACGAATAGCCATGTCCATGTCCTGTGGAGTGACATGCTGTTTAAGATGCATTCTTACATGGGCTTCAGACATCCGTATCATTGATTCTATGTGCCTCACTGCAATAGGAACTCCTTGTCCATGCTATATAAGTACGAAAAACAGAAAAGAGGCATGAATCATTAATCAGTTCATAGAACTATATTTTGGACCTAAGCCCCGGAGGTTCGACAACCAGATCTAACTCCTACATCCCCCGTTGAGCATCCAAATAATGGATATTGCTTGGTTGCATTAACAAGCCAACAATATGGCAACAACAGTCTTAAAATCTGTTCAAGAACACAAGAT